TAACAAATGTCTAGGAATCAGTAGGAAAGGGTGTGGTTTGGGTTTTTTTGTTAGTTTGTGCTTTTTTTTTAAAGTGGTGAAGCAATTCTTAGGAAAGAAAAATAGCTTCTTAAATCCAGTAGGAAATAAACTTATTCTGTGCAATTCTTAGGAAAGAAAAATAGCTTCTTACATCCAGTAGGAAATAAACTTATTCTTGGTTACTGTAGACTTTAATGATGACCTTCCTGTTCTTGCAGTCCACTCTTTGTCATCTTTAAGTTATGCATAAAAGATAAGATTTGAAATTACTTTTGCATGGCTTTTACAAACTCATAGTGCAAATTTCTTCTTTAAAATACCAGATGCAGATCTGTCCTGCAAGATTTATTTCATTTATTCAGGAAAGGGAAATATGCTGTAGGAGAAACAGGAGTGTGATCTATTTTAACTAAGCATATGGATTAATTTTGTCATGCAGCCATTAAAATCTGTTTTGAAATCTCTAGAAAGGAAAGTGATAGCAAAATTAGTATTTGTTTACTGAGCAAGCACCTTACGCGATCTGTAGACTTTAATGATGACCTTCCTGTTCTTGCAGTCCACTCTTTGTCATCTTTAAGTTATGCATAAAAGATAAGATTTGAAATTACTTTTGCATGGCTTTTACAAACTCATAGTGCAAATTTCTTCTTTAAAATACCAGATGCAGATCTGTCCTGCAAGATTTATTTCATTTATTCAGGAAAGGGAAATATGCTGTAGGAGAAACAGGAGTGTGATCTATTTTAACTAAGCATATGGATTAATTTTGTCATGCAGCCATTAAAATCTGTTTTGAAATCTCTAGAAAGGAAAGTGATAGCAAAATTACTTAGTATTTGTTTACTGAGCAAACACCTTACGCAAGTGCTCTGTTGGATTCTTACAAACATGCTTCTGAAATGATACCATTTCTCAGAGGAGTCATGGCAAATTCCTAAATCTGTTGTAATTGCAATTCAAGTCCCAGAGGTATATAAAAGTCAAGACAAGGTAGTCTTCAAAAGCATGTGTGAAATGGCTAAGTGTGTTATCAGGCCATGTTCATTACATTTTCCTCAACTTGTTCGTATTTTGTTTATCTTGCTGTAATGCCATGTTCATTACATTTTCCTCAACTTGTTTGTATCTTGTTTATCTTGCTGTAATAAAAAAAAAATGTAGATAAAAGTATATATCAAACTTCTTTGATTTTACTCTTTTCTTTTCCTTTTTTTTTGAATTTTTAAAAGGCTTAATTTACACTTACTCTATTTTTGATCTCTCTTCCTACTCTTAGGTGTTGATTTAGTCATCTGATGGAACTGGTCCTTGTTTGGATGTCCAGTGCCTTTCAAGTAGCAAAGCAGGGAGCCTTATAACCCCCTCTATCCAGTCTGGCCAGGTAGACTTCAGATTGCTCCTGGAGCAAGCCAATAAGGGTCAGTTTGCCAAAGATTCACTAGTCACAGTAAAACGGATGTTGCATTTCCCTGTGTACAGCAGCCAGCTCAGAAATAAGGGAAGGTCAATGCGACCCGTTTACACTGACTCTTCAGTAGGTTTGGCATAAAGAATCACAGAATGGTTTGGGTTGGAAGGGACCTTAAAGATCATCAAGTTCCAACCCCCCTGCCGTGGGCAGGGACACCTCCCACTAGACCAGGTTGCTCAAAGCCCCATCCACCCACGTCTTGAACACTTCCAGGGATGGTGCATCCACAACTTCTCTGGGCAACCTGTTCCAGTGTCTCGCCACCCTCACAGGAAAGAATTTCTTCCTAATATTTAATCTAAATCTTTCATCTTTCTGCTTAAAACCATTACCCCTCATCCTATTGCTGCACTCCCTGATAAAGAGTCCCTCCCCATCTCTCCTGTAGGCCCCCTTTAGGTGCTGGAAGGGGCCATAAGGTCTCCCCGGAGCCTTCTCTTCTCCAGGCTGGTACTTAAGTGGAAACGTGATATTCCACAATTGCTGTGGTCTGAAGACCACAGATTCTGAATAGCTTCACGTGACTTTTCCACAGTCACCAAGAGGCACGCTGAGAGGGCATGCTAAAACCTACTTGGATTTTCATAAACACTGTCAGACAAAACAGGGATTATCAGCAGCATGAAAAGATGCAGCAAAATGTGCCTTCCAGAGACAATTTAGATTTTTTTTTCAAGGCCACGAAGTTTGTTACTGAAAGAAAGCATCTATATCAGCACAGCAAATGTGTCTTCGTTCTGTTAGCTGGCCTTCAGCTAGCTCATTTATCAGAATAAGTAGTTCTGCGATTATCAGAGTAACTGAAGGTCAAGGTAATACGAAGAAATCAGAAAATAAAGCAGTCAGGTTCTGAAATCCAGAAGCCAGACACCAGAAGTTTGGTGTTCATGTGGTGAAGTACATAATGTGTGCACGGTGTCATGTCATTAAACAAAAATTGGTTCATAATTATGTGCTTGTGTTGACAGTATGTACCCAGTCAACTCCTCTGCTTGTTGGTAGCTTGTATGGATGTGAAGTAGCTGTGAGTTCTTGCTCCAAGGCAGGTTATCACCCATATACTCTGTATGTGGTTTTTTTCCAGTAAAGGCTTGGGAACAGGATGGATTGCAAAGCAATTGTCTTCCTGAAATAAACTGCCTGAAGACACAACTTACCTCTCGTGTAGCATTTGTTCAGGCCCATGAGAACCTGCTTTGATGTGGTGCTGAGTACCCTGGGGCTTGCAGTTCTCAGGCCCTCGCACTGGCTTCCACAGCTGGTCCTGCTCATTTTTACAATTCATCTGTAATTTCTGTTTCTTAAAACCAGCTGTATTTCAGTTACACCCACAGGAGGAGGCATTTTTAGTCATCTGAATGCACGAGTCTATTAGGAAAGCTGAGCAACTTCATTTCCAAACCTTGGGCTGGCCATGAATGGTATCAACGCTGCCTAAAAAAAAGTAAATGGATGTTTGGTCTGATTTACAGGCATTGTTTTACTGTCTCTGTTGAGAGGCTGTAATGCCTGAGACCAAAGTTGGCTGAGAATAATACAGCATTAAGGAGTTTCATTCCAGGCAGAGCTGGGATAAATCACTCCTCAAGTCAAAGGCATCCCTTGTAGAACAAGGTGAGGGTGGTAGACCCTTAAGAGCCATTTCAAGAGGAATTTCAAATCTTAAAATGGACTTACTTAAATCATCTATTGTAAGGACTTTCTGACTAAAGGACGTTTGGTGCTGATGTCCCAAGACGGACATATCAACAGGGTGACAGGTTGCTGAGGCCATAAGTGCTTTGGGAGAGAATCCAGTTCTGTGGCGGGTCTTTGATCTCACTCCTCTTTGAGGTGACGTACTCTGCACCTGCCTGCGCTTTTAACCCTGCCCTTGGATCAGCTGCAGGAGCTGGGTAGAGAAGAAGTACGAGTCTTTGACTGTGAATGTGTTTAAAAAGCCAGTTGAAGGTTTCGGTTTTAGGAGGACAGTTCTGGAGCTTTTTACTGGTCTGGAGTGGAAGAGGTCCCCTGTTCTGTCTTCTAGTAGCACCTGAAATATTTCAACTTGTCATTCTAGTTCAAGAGTCCTTTTTATATCTCCAGAGTAGCTGACAAGTCCTGTCTGCTGCAAAATTACTGTCAGCATAGTCAAGGCCGTGCTATCAACTGGTAAAAGTGGCTGTGGACCATCAACCCTCAATATGAGAATTCCTTTAAAAATTTAGTTTTTCCTCTTTCCCTCCAAAAAATGCACTTTCAGCAGAATCCAACAGGGCCTGGATCCAGGGATTAAACGGCAAACAGAAAACATTTATGCTGGTCATGAGGCAGGATGAGCAAATTGAAGTATTTCTGCTTTTAGGGGTTTTACTTCCGAAGCAATAGTGAGGGGGATGCTGTGGGTTATTTTTTTCAAATGATACGTTGATGGAACTTTATATCTTTGTGAAAAATAAATAATTGCTAAGAAATTCAGAAATGTACCTTTGACAAAAAAAAAACACCAAGCATTTGGCTGCTCCTAACCGTAGTTTAAAGGGAGAAGAGTATGCAATTTTTAAAGGCTGTAAATCTTAATGACACTCTACAACTTCGCAAGCCTCCTTTAACTTGCCTAACCCCGCTAGTATGCAGATTTTATGGCAGCCTTTCCTTTGAGAAGCAAAGAGGTTTTGCATCTATTCCAGCCCTCCTTCCAGGACGGGAACAGATTGCCTCCAAAGCTGTGCCAAGCCCCGGAAAGCCGCGGCGCCGTGGGACGCTGTAGGGTTGGAGGATGCAGAGGGAGAAAAATCACATGGTTTATGGGAACCTGAGCCTGGTTTCACTTTCAATGAGGCCATTAGCACAATTATGTAAACAGTCCGCGTCTGCCGCTCATTAAACAACGACAGGAAAAAGCAAGGAGGCTCGTAGTTCAGCTGTTACCAAAGGGGTATAATTGTAGAGCACTTGGGCAAAATTAAAGCTGGGAACAGAAAGCTGCAGCCTGAAGCACAAGTGTGTGAGTTACTAATCAAGGCAATACAGCTCACGCTGGAGAGCCTTAAACCTCACACCAACTTCCCCCAGCTCTTGCCTTAGTTGTGACGATCGTTTTCTATGCCAGTAGGAACCGAAACGAAGCCTTTACCAAAAAATCTCTGATCAGACTAGAAGCTTTTTAGAACGTAAATGTTTGCAAGTGTTTCCAGAGCCTGAGCGGTGGCTACAGTGTAAATACACTAATGAGATAAAGGGGAGGTTGGACATGAGTCCAGGTCTCCCTGATGGGTTCGTAATCCTGTAAGAATCAAACAAAGCCGTCAGTCATCCAGCTTTGTGCTGAAATGTCTGTGTTTCCTAGCTGTCCATCAAAGGACAGGGCATTCAGCTGTTGTTTGTTGGTGTTGTGTTAGGAAAAAAAAAAAAAAACAAACCACACAAAAGACACCTCGGAACTGAGTGGTTTGTTGGTGTTGTGTTAGGAAAAAAAAAAACCACAAACCACACAAAAGACACCTCTGGAACTGAGTGTCACAAGCTATTTTTTGGTTGTATAATGCTCTGTGAATCTCAGTACAGCTTCATACGTTACAAACACCACCATGTTCACAGGAAAGGCACGAATGCAGTTTAAACCCAGTCCTTTGAAAAGCACTTTTGCCCCCTCCCTCCTCACGCTCTCCCTGGCACAGTGCAGGAGGCCTTTGTACTTGTGCTGCTCCGACTCCTCCGTTTGCATCCGCGATTTGAGGACATCCATGGGAGTAGCTAATCCCCAGGCCAGGACCCCAGCAAAGCCACCAGACAGCAGCACAACCAGGAACCCTGCAGGAGCGAAGGGAGGAGCAGTTAATTTGGGCCTTGCACTGATCATTTGTTAACGAACTTGATTAATTCCCACGTTTTTCAGCAGTTGTTTCCTCCCAGCTCGTGCAGTTGTGAGTTTTCAGTGATCTCACACGAACCGATTTCGCAGCATGCTCATTTTTGCCTCCAGCAGACTGGCTCATGCAGTGGCAGCAGCTATTTCAACACCACACAAGCTCCGTGCAGTTGTGAGTTTTCAGTGATCTCACACAAACCGATTTCGCAGCGTACTCATTTTTGCCTCCATCAGACCTGCTCATGCAGAGGCAGCAATTTCAACACCACACAAGCTCTGTGTGATGCAGCCTGAGAGCACCCACACCCTCTTCAGCTGCGTCTGTTCATCTTTATAATTCTCTGGAAGATGCTCTTGGCCGAATGTCACCCATTTGTTCTTTTCTCAAGGCGCGTGGCTGGTTTTTTGGAGCCAGAACACAACCAGGAAACTTAAGTGTCTTTCCGTTCTGCCCCTGGAGTTTATTTTCAAGCTCTGGACTGGCCCTGTTGGCCCCTGGGAGGTTTGTCCGTGTTCCTATTTCTCGTTACACATCCTATTTCTGCGCCAAGAGGATTTCACACCCCTGTGCGAGGCACCATAAACCCCAGGGAGAGGGTGGTGCGGGCGAAGCCTTTGCTCCCAGGCTGCTGGGAGCAAACACACAGCAACCCCTGCGTGAGGACCGGATCTGGGAGAGGTTTTATAGGTACTGGGTGATGTTTGCTGAGAGCCTGATTTCCCTCTTAGCATGGTATTAAATAAGCCGCTTCTGCACGTAATGCCAGATGCTTTCCCATACCTACCCGGTTTATTTTTCCCAGCTGGTGTGAGCCAGTCGCACAGAGCAGAATAGGTGAGGAAATATATTGCAGAAGAAGAGCAGTCCCTGCAGAGCAGTGCAGAGCAGCCCTTGTAGAGACCCCCAAGCCCTTCCTCCTTGGCGATCACCTTCAGACAGTGCAGAGACCCTCGGTACTTTGGCTTGGGAACAGGCTGGGGAGATGTGAGGGAAGGGTGTGGGTTCCTCTGAGTCTGCATGCGAACTTTAGCCACCTCACTGGGGGCCATCAGCACAACCTGTAACACCAGAGAATGGTATTTTAACCCTTCACACTTAGTGTTTTCATCCCCCTCCTGCAAATGCCTTCTCTCCCACCTTTCCAGGCAATAGTATTGCCTGAAGCCAGCAAGTTCCAGCCTCGTCCTCTCTGTCTGTGCTAAATCCCACCCAGCAGCAGCAGGACACGCGTGTGCAGAGTGGAAGGTGAGGCAGAAACCAACAAGGGATATTAAATACCTGTAACAACTTACTAAACCAGATGGGCACCGAAAGGGGATGTCCTCAGCTATAGGGTAGCATATATCAGAGCTTTTATATGTGTCTGTGTTTGGAACCAAGGCCATAAAAGCTTTGGAAAAATTGACCTGTGTTAAGTAGAGTAGTTGCCTGCTAGGAAACACCTAGAAACCCGACCATCTGGCCTGCTCTGTAAGAGGATTGCCTGCGACCGAGCACGTATTTCTGCCCAGCACGTCATCGGGGCGCCGGGGTGAGCTCTGCTTGCGAACGCTCGCAGAAATCCATCTGCTTCTGGGAAACTGCCCCTGGAATCAGCCTCGCTCACCTCCCTGCCCTGGGATGGTGCCCGTTTGCCAGGCAGCACCACTTCTCAGAAGAGGAGGCTCCGGGGAGGCCTAATAGCAGCCTTCCAGTACCTGAAGGGAGCCTACAGGAAGGCTGGGGAGAACCTGTTTACAAAGGCCTGCAGTGACAGGACGAGGGGAAATGGCTTCAAGCTGGAGGGGAACAGATTTAGACTGGAGATTAGGAGAGGGTTCTTCACTGTGAGGGTGGTGGAGCACGGGAACAGGTTGCCCAGGGAGGTGGTTGAGGCCCCTTCCCTGGAGATATTCAAGGAGAGGCTCGACGAGGCCCCGGGCAACCTGGTCTAGTTGGGGGTGTCCCTGCTGACTGCGGGGGGGTCGGACTAGATGACCTTTGGAGGTCCCTTCCAGCCTGGACAATTCTATGATTCTGTGATGCTCCGCCGAGTTTTGAGTCCTGACAGTTTTCAGTCACGTCTCTCTCACATACCTGGACAATTCTATGATTCTATGATGCCCCGCCGAGTTTTGAGTCCTGATAGTTTTCAGTTACATCTCTCTCACATGAACACAGCACCAGAGCCACTGGGAAAGTTTGCCGCCCAGGTTGTTTTTCTTCCTTTCTCTGCCTTTTATTGCCAAGATGCGTGTCATTCTTAATAGCGTGTTCGTAAAGTGTTTTGGCACTCTAAAGACCATCTGGCAGGACTCAGCCATTCCACGGAGCCCGTCAGCGAGGGGACGGCACGGTCAGAGTGTGACCCCCTGCCCCTGGAAAAACAAACCCGACGGGCTTGTTGCGGGCTCCCCCGAGAGAAAACATTCCCTGCATTTCCAGCCTCCTCCTGTGCTTGTGAACGAGCTCTCTCCTTTGTGCTTTCCCTCTCGGCTCTTTACCTACCCGGGCAGCTCCGGCACCGCCTCCAGCGAGAGAAATGTCCAGCTTGGACGGCGTCGCATCTGCAGCCCCGTATCGCAGCTTGCAGATGGTACAGAGGAAGTTTCTGTACGTGCCAAACGAAACAGAAGAAATCACCGATACCGAGAGGACCGAGGCAGACATGCCTTTGTAAAATCCCCAAACCTAGTCGGGAAGAGAGAAAAAAAAATAATAAAGAATGCTTTTAAGAGGGGACGGCATGGGAGAGCGTCCGCCCGACAACGCTGAGCCAAAACTTGGTGCCATCTTACAGCTCATCAACAGAGCTCTAGGTGCTGCCTGCCCTCCCCAAACTGACAGAGGCAGCTCTGCTTCTCTGAAACAAGTCACCTCTAGTTGATATCAGCAGTTCCGAAGAGAGGTACCTACTTTTTCTGTCCTGTATGTTTCCTGAATGCAGTGCCAAATCCCATTGTAGTGCCTCTCCGTCTGAATTCTCACCTAGGAATGCAGGGACAACTTTGAAATGCGAGCACCAGATTAAAAGAAAGAAATAAAAATCAACAAATGTCACAGCAGCAAACCAGATAATTAGCCATAAGATAGCATTGCCAAACAATTTACTTTTTTTTAATAAAAGAAAAACAACACGATCAAATAAAATGAAATATGTCGATGTAAAAAAGACGAAAGCATTGCCATGGGACTAGTTTCCTAAGAAGGAGGAAGAAAGCAAAGGGGCGTGTTTGTTTTCAGTCTGTAGACAAGAAATAAAGCTCCGACAGGTACCTTCACTGTGTCCAGCGGATAGCCCACTGCTGTGCTCAGACCACCTGAAACACAGAGAGTATTGGAGATGGTTAACAGCACACGTCACGACAGACCGTTTTCCCCCGTTGCAGTAAGGCATCAGGGGAACAGCAGAAAAATGCAGCTTCAGAGCCCTGCCGTGCTTGGCACCAGCCCTCTCTCGAGCTCCAGAGATGACATTTGAGCCAAGAATGACAGAGCAAAATGCGCAGATTTCTCTGCCTGACCACGCCACGCTCAGAGAAGGAATTTGAGCGTCATGGGAAACTTATCAGGAGGAACACCACCACGGTGCAGACCAGAACTGGGAAAACGCAGAAAGCACTGCTGCAGGAAGCTTAAGGGATGACTTTTACAGTATTGGACTGTTTCTCTTTCCCCTCTCAGGTTAAGCAGTAAAGCATCTTTGGACCATGACCAAGCACTCTCACATGAGGTGCAAAGCATCTCCACTCACAGGAGAGGTCTCTGGAGCAATTTTGGTTCTCCAGACTTGACTTGGAAATACTGAAGCATAATAGCAGTGGTTTTATAGAGGACATCTATAAAAGAGGGGTAGTCCTCAGGCATTACAGGTTCTCGGCAATCTGTCTTCCTTCTTGAAGGCAGGAGAGGTGCTGCTGCTGCCTCCTGCACACCAGGGACCAGAGAAAAGGAGGCTGATCACCCACCTCACTGCATTTCTCAGCTCTGACTAAACACATCTCTTGGCAGATACAACAGATGATAAAGGGGCTGACCAGCTAACTTCCTCCTAGTACATCAACTCTCAAGTCATCGGAGAGGAAATTAGGCTGGCAACACAAGGGAGCTGTGTCTATGTGAGCTATTTAGACAGAGATCAAGTACATACAAGAGCTGGATGAGCCCTTCAGGAGCCAGACAGTCATAGGTAACAGCGTCTGTCTGGTGACTCATGAGTTGGAAACGCCCTCTCATTTAAACCTTCTTTAAAAAACAAAAAAGATACTTAAAGATGTTGTGGTCCCTGTGGGAATTTCACTAGGCATGTTCACCTGTGGTTGGGTGGCTGGTTGGGAGCTCTGGAAAGCTCTACTACGTTTTGGAAAAAAGCAGCAGCTGCTGGTGTGAGTCACCAGGAGACAACCCTGAGGTGCATTACTCAGAAGAAAACAACCAACAGCATCTTACTTACAGAAAAGTAAGGTTTGTTCTGCAAAAGTCTCTATCAAATCCGCCACCAGGTAAATAGCAATGAAGATGAAAAAATGGGCCAAGAAGCCACCTTCTGTATTTCAAAACCAAAATGGGACCAGGCTGGAAGAGAGATAGCGATGGGGGAGCACACCAGCAGGGTAATACACCCCAAATGCCTGTGGTCTGAGCAGAGTGACAACGCAAAAAGTCACCCGGGGGCACCTGTACTGTCCCAGATTCCTGGCCACTGGCCAGAGGCAGACTGCAAACCCTGGCCCCGCCAGCCAGGGAAGAGTAGCTCATAAGTCAATGTCAGCGTGACTGTGCTGACCTCAGAGGTGTGGTCCCCTGGCCCAAGAACCTGTCCCAGGCTGGAAGATTTGGCATCGCATCAGTTTCAGACTTCCTGAACCTCAGAGGTGGTGGATATGGGCTGAGCAGACACTGGTGACTTGGGGACACCATGTGCCGACAGCTCAGGAAGGCAGGAGCCTTGTCTCACACTGAACCTCAGAGGTGGTGGATATGGGCTGACCAGACACTGGTGACTCATGGACACCGTGTGCCTTGCTCCTCCGACAGCTCAGGAAGGTAGGAGCCTTGTCTCACGCCCGTCAGGTACCAAGGCTGATTTTGGTCACTGTTCGACACTAAGTGTCCTTCCTTCCAGAGGAATTGTCCTGTTCACCTGTTCACACATTAAGACACAGAGACAGCAGCAACATAGAAAAATTAGGCAGGTTCATTAAGACACAGAGACAGCAGCAACATAGAGAAAATAAAGCAGGTTTGCCCCAAACCAGCCTATTTTCTGTTGCTTCTCAGTCCTCAGGGCTCCTGCTTACCTTGAGTCCAGCAAGGACCAAATTTCTCCACTTGGAAGGAGAGCATAAGCGTAAATTTTTCACTGCTTGCACTCCAAACCTCCAGAGAACTACAGCCTGACATGAACTGTGCTCTTTAAGAGCCAAAGCACTCAAGGCAGTTAAGTTGTCAGAGCTGAGGAGCTCAGCCAAGTCTACCAAAGGCTGAGGAAGAAGTGCTCTACGCAGTCATGCAATATAAATAGCCTGGGACAAAGATAGCATGACCCACACATACCCTGTTTGCACAGCAGAATCGAACAAAGCTAGCGATGTATAGCATACATATGGGAGAGGGATCCTGTGGGGCTCCCCCTGAGTAACACTGCACCAACTGTGATGAAAATAACTGGCAAAACCAGGTGAACGATCTCCATTGGGTTGTAGTTACCCAGCTTTCATGCCTGCTTTATCTGAGATGTTCTCAGGTATTGTGCAGGGACACAATACCTGAGATCCCCTACACACACACACACAAACAGGGTGCAGGGACAAAACTGGGTTACTCATAGTCTCTTCATGAGTCAGGCCACTTCCAGCAGGCAATTCAAATAAGGAGGGGTCTTGGCGAGGTGGCCATTGCAATGGTAATTAGCACAGAGCAAGCAGCGGCCATACAGAGCCCACCAGGCTGCAACAGCTCTGAGCTGTCGGTAAACCCTTGGCTGAGAGACCCCAGGAGAAGCAGGGATCATGGTCATCATGGTCCATGCACTGGATGGGTAGACAGCAACTTCCGAAGGCCTTTACTTTGTGCAGAGCTGGGAACACAAGAAGTGCCCCGTGTCCTAAACAAGCCGAACTCCGTCCAGTAACGTGACCCTGGCAGTGGCCAGCAGGAGCTGCTTTAGCCGTAAGGACAAGGAGACAGCGTGTTCCCTCCGTAACTGGACTGCTTTATCTAACCTTGGACTGCATGTGACTGGTGTGTGACCTTGCAGTAAGATGTGGAGAAGCCCAGGCATGCTGCAGACCCTGCTGTTCTACCACTGTTGGGTGAACCTCAGCTTCCCCTTCCCAAATCTTTGCGCCTGGCATAAGGGTCAAGTCATTCCCCAGTCATCAATGGTCAATACCCATCCCCTGCCGTGGCCCAGGCTGCTGCCGTAGCAGGGCTAAAAAACACACATAGGATCACAGGAAAATTCAAGTTGGAAAGACCCTCAGGAGGTCTCTAGTCCAACCTCCTACCCAGCTTTATTGGCCAGGAAGGACATGCTTATAGGTGATGAGCTGCTTTCAAGGACATCCAGCCCCCATTTGGTGGTTACTGAGAGTTGCCATGGTCGTTAAGCATGTTTCTCTCCCATTCTTTCCACCTGGAGTCACAGCAGGTCACTGTTTCCTGCGTTGAAGATGCTGAGCTTGTCCCATGGCCACAGGAGCAATAGCTCAGAGGAGATGCACAATATTTGTGCTGGTGCCTGAGCCAGGCTGGATGATTACATGGGATTCAAAAGGGAAGCATCTTTGCCATTTCTCAGAGATGCTTAAGCCAGGCTTTCTCCCAAACATTCTGAAAACAGATCAAGGTCACAGGAATGTAATTTACTAAACAGAAACTCTGTCATTATCTATGTTGCCTCTTGAGTTGTTTGATGAACGTCAGGTGAGTTTGTAGCCTCCTTGAGAACTTGAAAACTGCTTCAGCTCTAACAAATACAAGCCGTGACACAAACTTGGCACCAAAACCATCCCGGTTCCACAGGAAAGCTGTCCCACCCCAGAAGCTGTCCCATGTCGGGGTCCACAGGGACCATGGGCCTGAAGCCCTGCCCAGGTTCCTTGCACATGTCTATGTCCAAGCTCCTAACAGGGAACAGCAAACCAGAAAATAGCCCTGTCTGCCAGTGAAAAGTGCATTGCCCCTCTTAGAAAAGACCCAGGCTGGACACAGATGGCAGTCTGTGGGGTCAGTGAAGTGCATTTAAACAAGCAAAGATATTTCTGATCCCACCTGGAGCTCCCCAGCCTGTATTCTCCCAGGCTGAGCCCATTTCCAGGGCACCCATGGGAGATGTTTGCTGCATGGTCAGGCGGCACATGATGCTGGCACCTGGACAGGGAGACTTCACACAAACCATGGCCTCACACAGGAGCTGGGGCAGAATGCTGAGGTGAACGGCTGCTCTGAAATTGTGCTTTCAACTGTCCACCTCCCCTAGTAAAAGAAGCTTATCCTTAAGTGGCTCAACTACAGCTGTGCCAATAAAAACAGGCATCCGAGCAGCAAACACAACTGTCACTGACCTGCCCACCTGAGCCCAGTTATTAATGGAATGTCTCAGAGGAGGTTTAGTGAATCCTTCCAGGATAGACATCCCATTGCCAGCCTCAGCACAGGGCTACCATCTCCACCCAGTACTTTAAAGTCAGCAAGGACAGAGGAGGAGAAAGCTGGCATGGAGGGGTTGGTGATATTCCTCTCTCCCATGAAAGGCCCTTCCTGAGCATGGTCCCCTAGCTTGGGGAAGGCCAACACCCCAAGCAACAGGCACCTCCAGGGCTGGATGCTGCTGAGATGCCACACCTTGCCCCACTTGCACATTTTGGGTGATGAGCAATAAGGGGCTGCAGGATAGAACTCATTGTGGTCCTTCCCAGGAAATGCACAGGTGGACCGGGACCACAGGCTGCTCCTGGTGAGGGAAACTGCCAAACCTCAGCAGATCTTAAAGTGAGATCTGGCATGCAGGCTTGGGCTGGGCATCTCAGCCATCTGGCAGGTTTACCTGGCCTTTCAGGTAAGGCTGAAGGCCTGACTTCGAGGCTCTTGTCTTGGTATTTGATACTCCGCTAAATCTGATGAGATTTCAGAAAAGAAATGAGACCAGTGGCTGCATTTCGTTGTTTAAAACAAAGCTGGGTGTGAGCAGCACACGCTCTAAAAACGTCTAGCGCGAAATCATGCATTTCTCCTTTTCCTTTTTTTTATATACAGCTAACCTACTTTCTCCCAGATTAAAGCCCGCTGCGCAGCACGCCTGCGCTGGAATTGCCACCACAAATCCATCCTAACCAAAGACAATGCAGAGGTCATTCATTCATTCCTTCTCCACTGTGAAAAGCCATGTCTCCATCCCTCCCATCCCGCAAATCGTGCCCCCAAATCCCCCAGAGCCATGACCCCCAGAGCCTGCCAGGACCCCCAGGCACCAGACACGTGAGGTTTTGCTGCCCAGCTGTCGCTCGCCAGTTTGTATCTGCAGCCAACATCTTCCACCCCGTCTCTTCCTATCAGGGTTTTGCCCTGTCCCGCTGCAATTAGACTGGAGGAAATCACGGGGCGATGACCTCAGCTGACCAAGCTGCAGTGCTGCCTCTCCAGAAGCTCCCTGAGCCGGCTCTGATGACGTTTTCCACTTTAATAAAGATGAATCCACTTTTAATGAGCAGCCCCCATCTCAGCTTTACCACCGAGACCTGCCCGTTAGCTGAACAAGAAGGAAACACAGCGATTTGCTTTCATCTACGAGCACTACTTCATATATTTACCTCCAATGGCCCCAGCAATGAAATCCATCCAGACTGAGCCTGCTGCCTTAATTACCCTGATTAACCGTTAGGGAGGTAGAAGAAAGGAGGATTCCGGTTCGGTCTTTCCACAGCCCCGCAGGTCCTTCGGAGACAGTGTGGTTTGCAATATGAATCACCTCCCTACTGGCTTCTCTTGCCCCTGGGGACTGTGAGCCTTGTGGATTCTTGGTGAATTCGCAGACTGGAGGCAGAGACGAGGAGGCTGGAGCTGTTCCAGGAACACAGTGAATAAGTAATCCCGCGAAGCCCTGCCACGCTGCGCCAGAGCCGCTGCTCCCCAGTGCCCTTCTGCTTGGAAAATCACAAGGGGAGGTGCTTTGCAGGGTAACGCTGGCCCTGAAGTGGCCATCCCCTGTTGTACTCATTAACCCCAGAAGACAGCCCTGCACACTTGTTTGCTGGAGGACACTCTTGCCCTGCACCGTGGAGAAGTGGCACGGGTAGGAGATGTAGGAGATGCCTCCTCCCCCTCATCCCAGCCCATCCTTCCTCCTTCTGATGGAGCAGACCCCCTTCCCATCAAGGAAAATTCCTTCTGCCCTTCCTAAGGAATTTTCCTTGGCTTTCCTGACCCATGCAGCTGACCCTAAACTTCTACCCAGGTCCCCATGGATGATTACCTGCTCATTGTGTATACACATGGTGAAGCCCAGAAATAAATCCAACCACATACCAAGCGTTTGCTTCCCTTTCAGACCTCAGGGTAGTTTTCCCAGCCCCTGGAGGAGCTTCTTCACTTCTTGCTCAGCCTCCCAACCCTCTTCCCAACGTCAGCTCCTTGCTGAGTTCAGTGGCAGAGCAGGATTCATGATTTCTGCTGCCCGTACTGCAGTAGTTTGCCCCACAGAGGAGATGGGAGATGCATTTTGCCGGGAAACTGGTCCAGCACCTAATTTTTCCTTCCTCATTGACACCCAGCACAGGGTGGTGATCTCAATAAGGGAAAGAGAAAAGCGTAGAGAGAGACCTGCTAGTCAAGGAGAACCAAGATCTCAGGAAAATGCCATAGTGCCTCTTTTTGTCTAACAGCCTGGTACCGGAGGGCTGCCACATCGACACAGGAGAGGTTAAGTTTTGCCTGGAGTGAACCTTGAAACCAAAGTCCTGGTGCAGCGAAGGGCTTGCCAAGTCGTGACCTGAATTGTACTCCTCTTGAAGAGGTTTCCCCGGGTCAGAGCCAGGGCACATTGGCAGCAAAGGGAAAAGAAAATTTCACGGCTGCTGCCCCCCCGGGGTCGGCTTCACAGAGGAGCTGAGGACTTTAGCCCCCAGGGCTGTCTTTCTCACATTTCACAAGGACCTCTTTCTCACTGAAGCACGTATTTTGGATGGGCTGATGTGTCAGTGACATATAGCACAGTTCAGTGACATATAGCACAGTTCAGTGCGAGGGCTCAGAGCTTCTGGGAAATGAAAATGAAAGGATTTCTCGTCACTTACTTCCTGTAACTTCTTGCACATCCTTCCCTGAACGCTTTCTGCGCTGGAGAGAACAGTTTATTCCGCTGTAACATGATGACAGCAAAAACTTAAAACCAAAAGTAAAACATTATCCAGAGAGATAGCAGCGCAGCCGCTAAAACACCCCGGGTTATTCAGTAGCCCTTCCTGGTTACAGCTGGTGACCATACAGGAGTTATTAATGGTTCATCAACAGCCTGTACGTGCCAAGTGCGGGGAAAGGTGCTGCTTCCACTTCTCCCACCAGCCATTCCCGGCGGCTGTCCTTGCCGACCCCCTCCAGCAGCGGGTCCAGTGACACTCGGGGACAAGGACACAGTCCCCTGCAGAGGGGCAGCCCAGGAGCCCACAGCCTCCTGGTTGCTGCAGGGATGGGGCAACCTGCCGACCCACACTGCAGCAGTCACCGCCGCCTTGGGGACCACCGTTTAGACACCACTCTTTAATACTGTTTTTTTTTGGGAGATGCTTCCAGGCAAAGTGAAGAAACTCGGTATATTCCCAATATGAAAGTGTCGCTGTGCATTTCCTCCCATCAGGCGGCCGTGGGTGTCATGGTGGCTGTCATGGTGGGTGGCAGGGATTTCTCTGTGTATTGCAATATCTGGTGCAACACCAGCAAGAAAATAGAGGCTGGCTGGCATGTCTAACACTGGCTGAGTGAAGTGTCAGAGCTAATAAGTATTTCCCGTGAAATGTCACCAGACTGAATAAAATTTCTACCTTCTTTTGCTTAGCTGAACAGATCAAAGGGAATCTTCCTCATAAAACCTTCTGAGATTGTAAAAAAAAAAAAAATTAAATATATTAGCAACCCAAAAAACTTCCCTTTGCAACAGAAAATCAAATCCTTCTTTAATTATTTTACCCTTCATTCGCACCAATGCTTCTATCAAAATATTAGTTGCTTTACATAGCACAAAGCTGACCCCAGAGTCAAGCATTTTGATAACTTTTTGATAGGGGTTTTTGTTGCTTCAATGAGATATACCAGGATAAGTCATGTTTTCCACTTGACTGGAGATGCTCTGCGAACAGAGGCCTTTCAGAAGGTGGCCATCTGTAAGAAGAGTATTTTGGGGCTTGAGAAGTTTCGCTTTGTGACATGAAGGTGTCGCTGGGGGCAGTGGGCTCTGGAGGAATGCATGCACACTGCTACTCCAGGGACATTTGCCTCCATGGGGGCTTAGCAGGGTAACACAAACCCCAGGCAAATGCAGCCACAAGACATCCTCAAGGCAGTGATTCAGGCTCCCTTACCGGGAGCCATCCCAGAGATGTATAGTCCTTGAAGTCTCAGTGTCCTTCATGCCTTGAAGCAGCTTTCTCCTTCAAGCCATCCCAGAGATGTATAGTCCTTGAAGTATCAATGTCCTTCATGCCTTGAAGCAGCTTCCTCCTTCATCCCCTCTTCCCCTCTTCCTCATGTTTCAGAGATGCCCCAGCTCACAGACACCAGCCACTTTAGAAACACTTACTGGAATCCAGCCCCCAGTGACACAGGTCAACAGAGACAGCTCAAAAAACCTAGCCCAAAGAATCTTGAATCATCAGGAAGAATTTCAGGGTCAAATACGAGTCACTCGTTTGACACAATGTCCAAGGACTGACAGAGACCACCGCTATTCCAGCTCGCAAAGGAATGACGTGGTCCACATCTACGCAGGGATGAACAGAAGTGCCTGGTCTCAACCCAGGTGGTCATCTCAAAGCATGCCCTAGGAAATGACAGATGAAACACGTGCTTTGAGCCTCCACAACGGATAGTACTCCCCCAGAAATAACTCACAAGTCCTTTCCTCCAGCAGCAAATTGCCTCAAAGTGCGATTTGCTCAAAATGGGTGAATTTCACAGGGGATTCTGAGAAAGCAGAGCATGGAAGGTGCTGTCAGATGAAAAGACAGATCTGAAGATCTGAAGAAATCTGCAGGAAATTCTGACACTAAGTGATGGAAAAGCGAGGAAGGCCTTAATTTTTCACAGTGTCTGATGGATGAACCACTCCATTTGCTTCACGGGAGAAGGCAGCTGCCTGCCCACCCAGGCAGAGAGAACTGCTGCACGGCTAAGGTGCAAGTGGGGTTAGAGGACTGGTACAAGCATATGGAGCAAAGGGAAAGGTGGAGAGGGAGACTTCAGGTTGTTAATCAATGTTAAGTAACATCTATAAGATGAGACAAAAAGGCAGGGGCATCCCTTTACCCTTCTTCTTCCATAGATCACTCCCAGGAGGGTACCAACTCCATCCATCCTGCAAAGCCTGTCCTCTTTTGCCTCTGCAACCACCTGCCAGCTCATCGAGCCAGATCTGCTCAGAGAAGGTTCCTGCCTCGTTTCCTGCCATAACGCGCTGCATTTTCTTATTCTCCTCACACTGTGCATATCCATCATTTCCCTTACAGTTTATTTTAGCAAAATCCTTGACTGAAGGGGCTGTTCAAAGAGCGTTACCCCGCTACGTCACCGGGCTGTTTGCACATTGCAGAACAGGAAAGTGACACCAGCAACCCCGAGCTGGCAGAGCCTGGCCCTTGGCTTGCGGGGCGGTGGGTGGGAAGGGGGGTGGAACCTCCTGGCTCCAGCTGTGTTACGGATTTTCGAATCAAAGTGTCTCATTGTCCTTTATCTCAGGTACTAATGAAAAAAAAAAACAAAAAAAAAATATCAAAAAAACCCCCAAACCAAACAAACCACCCAATAATTCCAAGGACTCAAACATTCGCAGCAGGAATTTCACAGCAAAACAAACAAAACCAGTAAGGAAACCACTCTGAGCGTTGGCAACTGCATTGCCTTTAGCCAGGTATAAGTGATCAGTGATTTCACCTCTGAAAAGCTGATATAAGGTTGTAATGTTTCTACACACATTTCCAAGGGAAAGCAAAATAATACGTTGCCAAGAGGACTGAAGATGATTGCAGAAATTTAAGAAGTGACACAGATTTTCTGGCTTTGGGCAAGCGACTCAGTCTCCCTGTAGCTAATCTTCTCATCAGCACAATGAGTGCTCTGTATGTCCACAGCCATGAAGTCACTCCAAGCATTCAGGCACTTCTCAGAGAGCCACCAGTCTCTGCTCAGGAGTAAATCCTGGGAAAAGGTGGAAGTGACAATATTAGCTCCCACCCTACACAAACACCCGTGTGAAAAAAAAATATTATATACTAAAGATCGCATCGCTCTCACGGTTCTTTCCACTCTTCCCCCTCCTCTTCCTCTCACTCTTCCCCCCAAAACCCTAATCTTCACAATACAAAAGAGGAAACATGACAGCACACCACCTCAGTGAATTTCTGTAAAGGGTTTTATACCAGCTGATGTTGCTGGCACTTTGGGAGGACTCCTGGCTGTGACAGAGGGAGGGGATGTCAGGACTCTGATCGACTTTCCAATTGCACAGATCCATTGATGATGGTGTTGCAATATCAGAGCTCGCTCCAGAGTCTACAGCCCTGTGTCTTCTTCTCCAGTATTCTCAAACTGTGTCTCCCCCAGGTCTCTATTGTACACCTGTGAAAAATGCATGAGATGCTTGCCAACAGTCTTCCTTCCCTTTGGAATGATATGATTTGATGTGATTTAACAACCTCTGAGCTACTTGGAAATTTGGAAGGAAACTCGGCTCTAGAACTATAAAGCATTGTTTTTTAGGACTTTGATATGAGCTGCTACAA